CTCACACCCACCCGCACCCTCATAGCACAAACTCCATTCCCCTCTCCGTCATCATTTGTCATTTTTTTCACAACTCTCGCCCCTACTCCCTAATGATGTAAGGTGTGAACAGCCCCTAATTGAGATTTTTCCTTGTACTCTGCTAGAATCAACCCTTTACCAGTATTATAGATAAAGCGAATATTTCATGTATTTCGTTTTTCATTGCTAATTACTCATCCATTTGAGTAACTAGAAATGACTTTTTTTTATGAGTACATGCAGAAATTAATTCTTTCCCGTAACATAAAAAGCAAAAATTTTAAGTCTAAAAATAATTGAGATTCAAACGATGAAACACACACTCATAATATGCCTTCGCTTTATCAAGATAGACTGTAAATAAGTATTTGGTTTATATTAACTTCATTGCATTAAGTCTCCAGTTTTCAGGATACTCTATAAAAAGTATTAGGGTATCTATCTCCTTGCATATCTGGACGTTTAACTTCTAGTTACTCAAAGTATGAATACTATAACATATCGGATTATTTGTGATTAAGAAAATAAAAAAAAATATTTATTTTCAGATGTCTCACACACTCCTATTCATTATCATTGAAATTGAATCAAGTCACTTTTATTGATATTAATTTTCAATTAACGATAAATTGAATGCTTTCGAATATTGACATACATTTGGATTTAAATCTACTATAAAACCATCAATCAGGACAAAATAAACAGAGAAAGCGATCACTGGTAACGGTAAACATGGTCTAGATTTGTTTCCATTTCCAAATTCCATACGTGGACCTATCCATATTGTTAACATATAACCAATTTCTATGAATACTATACAACCAATTCCAATACAAATCTTCATTTCTATCGTAGGTAATGGATGTAATACCAATAATACCATTAAATTGTAAAAACGAAAATCCGATAGACCAATTAAAGCACCGTATTTTTCTTTCTCTATTTCACTAAAATCCATATCTTCGTAGTCTTTGAAGAAATAATAAACACCATGAGGAAATATTGACATGCCAGGTTGTGGTATTGCTGTTGATGGACCGAAAAGTAGAAAATCACGAAGATGGATATTTAAACATTGAATACTACAATTAAATGAACATGTATTAAATATAGGAAAAGAGTTGGAATATTATTTCTAATTATCTATATCGATGTTTCATCATTGTAGACAACAATTGATTATTTTGTGGAACTCTCACAAATTTTCGAAGAAAATGGTCTGTAAGTTTGAAAAGCGTAATTTTTAAGTTCCCGCCCCACAACAGACCGTAGCAAAGGCACCCCCATTACAAACCGTAGTAACTAGTTCGAGAGTCGTTAAGTATTTTAGCTTAGGCGAAATATGTAAGTTACATGTTTCAGTCCCAAAGCAACTGTGCTAACAAGCTTTTTTTTATTCTTATTAAAAATCATTCATTATTAGCAACACAAGATACCAATTCATTTTTTTCTATTGAAAACAAAAGACAAATTAGTTAAGGTAAAATGTAAATTGTTCAAATTTTTTCTCATTGCTAATCCATTAAAATCGAAATAAATTATTCCAATATGAAAAGCTTCTAGCGCAATCTCTGTCAGATTAAAATGTGAAACAGGATCGAGCTCGTCATATCGTAAAATAGAAAATTCACTACTATGTCCCTCACAATCTGTGATAGAGAAAGAAGAGTACTAAGGTGTCTATCTCATGTATGGTCTGTCATTGCTATCATGTCTGCCACACTTTTGGTAGGAAGGGAGAGTTCAATTTCTACCCCTATACTTCAAAACTTCTTTTAGATCGTGTTTCACGAAATGGATTTTTAGTTAAAACTGTACCGAACTAAATTGACTGCTTTACTTACCAATCTATCACAGAATAAATCCATAGAAAACCAATTATGAAATAAACTGACATATAGCGACAACACAAATCGTATAGCATAAATGCACTAAAAGATTGAAATAAACATAACAATCCTTGTTCTACTCTAAATGAAAACCATGGAAGTTCATGTAACAGCCATTTGAAATAAATATATATCAACTGCCAAATAATAAAATAGATGGTCAACACGTCCACTTTACATGACATATGTAAACCATTACATAATCGAGATATTAACCAAACACTTGCCATTAAGTTGAAGATACGTGTTCTATATATTCTTCTTCTTCTTTCATTACATGACCAATAAAATATTATAATAAAAATGTCAATGAAACAATGTAGATATGATTCCATGTTGAATAAATTGTCAACTTGAGGTTGACAAATGTAGATATCTATGTAGAAATGTCAACAATAAAATTCTTTATTATAACAAAAACTTACTTTTCCAATTGAATAACAGACAACGCAGTAGCATAAATGTATCACGCAATCTATCCGCAACGTTATTTTGAAATAAATTATCATCTACTCTTGTCCCTTCCAAAATACAATACATTATTAGTGTCATCATCATACTTAGACTTGTAGCCATTATAAAATGTACATCGGCATTCATAATCGATAGTTGTAATAAGCCAAGGTTAGGAATCAATTGCTTTTTTTATTCAGTTTATGAAAAGATAAATGAACTAGAGACTGTAAAATATCGTTTAGATATATATATATATCATCTTGAGTGTTACACAAAATGAATAGCATACGTGCAACATATTTTCATACAAAAAGAGAAAGGTCAACCAGGTCATAAAATAATCGGACGAAAAAGATGAGAAAAATAGAAAAAAAAAAGAATTAGCAGGCATTCATTAGATATAGTGGTCGACAATAAAATTTATGGTACGAATATATCGTCGAAATATATTAATTGGCCATCTAAGAGAAAAAAAAAAGAAGAGACGAAATCATGAAAAATATTAATTAAATATACATTAAAGTGAAAGCATATAGGCAAACGTGTTATTTCTGTAACCTTTCATAATAAACAGAAAAATAAAATAATCGTCAGATATAATCGAAAAGAGATCAAAAAGAAAATTGGAAATATTTAAATCAGATTTGTAGTTAATAATTCTTTTTTCTTTAGTTTTTTAAAAAAGAATAATGAAATATAGATATAAATTAAAGCTGAAATGATTATTCTTTTACGTTAGATTCTATCACAATTATGTTCACATAAAAATTAATTACCATTGATATTATATTTTAAGGTATAGTTGAAATCATTGTGATATATTTCTATTTGAAGATAATTGAGATAACAAGGAACAAAAAAACAAATTTTTAATTATAATGGATCCTAGAAATTACAATAATCCATTTTTCCTATTTCACCTCAGACTTTTGTGTCATATTGTTTTGATCACGTTTAGAAGAGTCTAATAAAAGTTTTCTTTTCATATAATGTATTGTCTAGAAAACTTTGTATTTTATCTTTTTCATTTTATTATATTATAATTTTGTTGTGTCTGCAGAAAAAAAAGTCATTTATAAAAATATCAAAAGGTCTTTACGAGAGAATCCATGTAATTATTAAGAAATCGAAGCATTGGTCAAAATGTAATTTGTTTTTTATTTGATGTTCTTATCTTAATCAGCATCATCTAAATCTAAAATTTGTAAATTCAAACTTTTAGTACATTTGAATGAGCTAATGAAAAGTTAGTATCATATGACTTTTGGAATTTTCTTGAGATTATATTACATAATATCATAAAAAATTATCGTTATAAAGCTAAGTTTTTTAACATGACGACAAATTAACAAAATATCACTGCTCCGAAAGTCCTTGGAACTTATATACTGTTAAATCATAGAATAACAATTATCGCATTTATTGAATGTACTGATCGTCAATAGCAACCACATGCACCTAACGATCATGCAAACTCTCTATGCCTTTAGAAAAAACTCCCAATCACAATCACTCAAATAGTCATCATCAGTCGCTATCACTTCATCATCAGAGCCAAAACTCTTTCCTCCAAGGAATTTCTTCAAATGTGGAAAGACGTGATAATCAGTTGGCGCAATGTCTGGAGAATAGGTCGGATGATTCAATTCGGCGAAGCCCGCCTGGCAAAAGGCAGCCTGCACAACGTTGAACTTATGAATGAGTTCATTGTCATGAGGAAGTAGCTCTCTCTGCTAACTTTGTCGCGATGTTTCTCTGAGATGGCAGAACGTAGTCGATTGATGAGTGATGCATAATATTGATCATTGATTATATTTCCTTGAGTCAGGTAGTCGGTGAGTAAAACACTATCTGTCCTAGAAAATGGTCATCATGACCTTTCTAGTCGATCTCTGAGGACGAAGTTGAGTTGGTGTCATTTCTTCAGGCTTCTTTCAGACATTCGGTTCCTGCTGGCTGAGAGGATCGTAATAGCAGACTCGTGACTTGTTGCCGGTTACGATGCGACCAAAGAAGTTGGACAGATCCGTTTCCCTTTCTTGCAATAGCTCTTGACAACATTCCATTCGATCGGTACGTTGAAGTGGTGTCAGCTATTTCGGTACACATCACGTGGAAACCTTGCTCATACTCAAGCGATTGGCCATGATCTCGTAGACTCGGATTTATGAAATGCCCAATTCGTCAGCTACACGTCGGACAAAGATTTGTCGATCATTCATCACAGTACGTTCTACGACTTTAATGTTTTCATTAGTGTTGATGATTGATGGGCGACCACTTCGAAGTGCATCTTGGAAGCTCCCATTCTGAGTCCTTCAATTAAGTCACCCACTTGATGATGGTGCTGTACGATGGAGCAGAGTTCTTATAAACATCATTCAGCTCCTTTTTTTGATGTTAATGGCATTTAACTCTTTCCGCGTGAAAAACTTGATGACTGCTCGATGCTCTAAATTCGACATATCTGAAAAATAGGCAGACGCGCTTTTGAAAACGTCCTTCTTTCCTGAAGAAGGCAATGAAGCAATTCTATGAAAAGCGGTGTCTGCTCCTAAAAATGAACGCTCTACACAAGAGTGGAAACCATATGTTTCACTCTTGCAATTAGATAGAGAGATCCGAGGACTTTTGGAACACCCTGATATTTATTGTAATATTGTAAAAGATAGGTATTATATAGTGAACAAAATTAATTATATACATATTATATTTCAATCGATTGATTTAGAGTTATATGTGAAATACTGTCCATTTTTGTAGTTAAAATGTGCTAATCATTCATTCATAGTATATCAAATGACATTAAGTTATTTTAAAAGACTTGTCGTTAAATTTCGAATATGTTGTGCAGTTGTTGTTTTCTCTACAAAATGATTATTAAAAAAAAGTTTTGAAAATAGTTTACTTGCAAGACGAAAAATAGCTCCCAATATTGACCGATTAGATAGTTTGTATAGGGAAACGTGGAGACGCATTATACTACAAATCAACTCACTATCTTCTTTTTTTTTTTGAAATATCAATCAAGTAAAATATAAAAATCGATAGATTTCACCACGATGAACAGTTTGGTGTTATTATTAAGGAGAGTCCTATCTCACTCTTTTCAACAATGATGCATTAGAAAGTTTTGAAGCTTTTAGGGCTAATTGATTTCGTTGAGTTGATCTAAAGTTGTTATAGATACAAAATTCCTAAATAGTTCCCCTTATAAGAGATGTTAAAGTTACTATAGCTAAAAATGATCGTCTCTCTTTATCACTTCATTTTCTCAGCCGTAATAAATTCGATAGAACTAAAATCTTTTTTTTACAGATACGCGACAATGTTGAAAGTGTCTATATTTTTTATTGGTTTCTTTTTATCTATTTCTGTTCAAATAAAAACATGAAAATTCTGAGAGCATTCTCAAAAATCATGAAAAAATAATGTCTTTCTTTTGTAAATATTACTTGATAATAAATATTAAAAACTTGTTTTCGTTCTAAAACTATTTCATGTATTTGACTTCGTTGAAAAGTAATATAACCTGAAAATAAAAAATGAAATTCTTTTATTAAACTTTTATAACTTATCACATAGAAAATGAATTTATTGAAATTGTGTATTGTAATTATTGGATGATGATAGTGATTCAACATATAAATCAAGTAATTTATACTAAAATATTTATATATTCAAAATCTCTTTTTTTCGATATGTTATTTGAATATGAAAAAAGTAAACTGAACACAATGTCGATAGATAATAAATAGATTTGTTGAATTTGATCAAGTTACTTGTACAATATTAACTTAAAACAAATAGAATGAATTTATTTGCTGTTATCTCTTCTAAATATGCATTATGTTTTCATTCTGATTTATAATGTTTTTCAACATCAAAATATTTTAACATTTGTTATATAACTATTACAATTCATTGATTCTTTATCATGGGAAAAACAATAAAATCAAATAACTTCTTTTATTCTTCTTCGTTTTTTATTTAAAGAAAAAAAATCAAACTGGAGACAAATAAATTTTATCCTGCTTTTTCTATTTGAACTTTTAATAATAAATAATTCTACAATATCATAATGAACTGATCAATTTTCTTCAGATAGATTTTTAATAGATTTTAAATATAATAATGATTATTTAGTAGAAAATATTATTGGATTAATATCATTATCTTATTTAATTGATAATATATAAATAAAAGTTTAATAATAAATATTTTAAATAATTCTTTCTATCATAATTTATATTGTTATATGAAAACAAAATTCAATATAAATCTACTATTGAAATCTAATAATAATATTTTAATATTTTCTAATATATCATTTTTAAGAAATGATGGATGTGGACAACGAAGTATACTTTGATTATCATCATTATTCAAATTAAATATTATCATTTCATATGTTACTAGAAGAAGAAAAACTAATAAAAAAAAAGAGATTAAAGAGTTTAATTTTAATTATTTATTTACCTTTTTCTTCTAATTGCTGATTAAGATATTAAATACTATCATTAGTTAAACATTTTAATAATATATTATTAAGATCAAAACCATGTTTTAACTATATAAATCATTTCACTATTCATCTGTTAAATGAATTTAAAATATTTATAAGATTAATTAGAAATAGAAATAGAAATAAATTAAACTAACATTAGGAAAAATTTGAATTAATTTCATTGTTAATATATTATCAACAAGACCAATTAAAAGTGAATTAGCATCAGATTGAGAAGCATCTTATTTAAAAAAAAAACCATTATTTTTATTTAATAAATACTTTAAAAAAAAACAAAATAACTATATCTATGGAATAGATAACTTTCAATTTACTGGATGATATTAATAAATTCGAAAAAGATTTACTTTATTATTAAACACTGAAATTAAGAACGAAAAAGCGAATATTTTATACTTTAAGAATACATTAAAGCTATTATCGAGAACTTCTTACCTATTTCAAGTTTACTATCAATGCGTTCCGCAAGCATATGAATTTAAGGTCATCCTATATTAATTTTTTTCGATAATAAACTTTAAATACTTCATTGCAGTACGCGGATCCTCAAACTCTGAAGTGCAATCAAGTAACTAGGCTTTAGTAGTAGTTAAACCAATATGAAATGATTTTAAACTGATATGCTTGTGACAAATGTTCATAGTATTGTTGAAATAAATAAGATATCGTTGGAGTATGGAATTTTCGCTTTTTTTATCCTATTTAGGATCTTCTAGAATCCAGGATGAGGATCAAGGAGAAAATACACATACAAACAGTATCATCGGCATGGAAAGAGGCGAGGAAAAGTATTTCCATCTTGCTTTAGAAACTTCTACTAGAAGTTTCTCCACTTTTTGTAATTTGAAGGAGAATTTTCTTCTGTGTTTCAAGAGACGTCATCTTGTTTTTATCACTTCGCACCGTCATTGTATACAAATGTAAAGCATGATTTTAGTAGATTCTGATTAATAATGGTAGATATTGGTAGACTCTGATAAAATGAAAAAGATGGCATGATAAGAATTCTTGCAGAACTTAAATTGAATGTACATATTGAAATACTATAAAAATTATAGCAGAAAAATAGAGTAGAAATATTATTGAAGGTTTATCATAGACTGTAGAAATAATTTAGAAAAAAAAAATAACATCTCAACTAAACCAGAACATTTTTCATCAAATTTTATTGTTTTTTGATATATATATATGAGTGAAGAGCGCGCCCATTGTACCGTTCGCGAAAAAAAATCAATAAAAATAAATTTAATGATAGGAAAAAACTAAGTGCTGTATTGGATAGAGCTATGTTGAATGTGTATGAAAATACTATTTTCCCTACACTTTCCTGTGGTATGATGGAGATTCACAATATAGTCAGCTAAAAAGCCGTTCTATATACAGCATGACCGTCATTTTTTAAAATTTCATGTGAAATTTTTATATTAACGAAGTTTATGAAACAAACCTCTTCTACTTCTTAAATTATTTTCCCCCTAGTTCTCTTTGATATGCAATCAAATTTGTTCAAATGAAATTTCGTCAAACGGCATGCCAATGATTTTAATGTCGCCCTACACTTTTTTTCACAAAAATGTCGCCCTACGTTTTTCTAGTAAAATTGCATTTTCTCCAAAACGAAGAAAGATTTTCAATTGATTTTTTGGAATATTACTCTACTCTATGAGTCTGAAAAAACATCAAATTTCTGTCGCAAATGGTTGAGTATTCATTGAGTTATAGCAAAAACAAAATTCAAAATGTCGCCCTACATTTTGTCTAAAATTCAGTTTTTCTAATCTTGTATAAAATTTTTGCACTAACGAAGTTCATCGAACAAATCTCATTTATTTCTCAAATTATTTTTATCTTAGTTCTCTCTGATATCCAATCAAATTAAAAGAAAAAAAAATTCTCCAAACAAAACGCCAGTGATTTTAATGTCGCCTTACGCAAAAATGAAAAAGTGTCTCAACGCCCATTATCGACGGTTTTTCATTCATAAGACTTTCTCTAAAGCTGAAACTAACGATATATTCTAAAAGCTCTTCACAAGTACTACAACTCTAGCTATAAAATAATTTTTAAAAAAATCGCAATGAAATTTTTTAAAATTGGTTTTCTTCTCACAGGTGGTATTAGAAGCTAGGTATTTGACAGTGTTTTCATGATTTCTTGGAAATTAAAATAGGTGGAAATTTGATTTTTTCAGAAGTGAATGACCATCTCTAGACTAGCAAAATAAAAAAAAATTATCAAAATCGATTGAGTAGAACTCGAGTTATAGGCATTTTTCTTTTCGGAATACAACGGTACAATGGGCGCGCTCTTCACTCATATATATATTCTAACATTTGTGATAAAAGGTTTTTAATTAAAAGCTATAAAAAATCGATAAAAATCTTATTACTATTAGCAGTATTGAGTGAATCCGCCAGGTTTCTATCACTTTGTGGAAGCTGCGTCAATGTTCTGAAAGTTTTTTTTCGATTTTAATAGTCTAGTTAGACGCATCATAGCTGAAGACGGTCTGAGGTAACAATTAGAATCTTTTTGGATACATCAACTGTGGAGAAGCACATCATTTTTTAGGAACACTCTATATATATGAGGATGCCCAGTCTGGCCGGAAGCCTCAATTTGCTTTCTTCCTATTATCAGTTAAAAACCTAATCATGTTCGGGTCAAATTATCACTCTCGTCCCTAAACTACTAAATTTAAAAAAATCAGCTGTTGATGTCTGTCTTATATGAAATAATTCTGTCGTTAAAATCGTGTCCTACCGTTTTTAAGGGACTCAATAATTTCATATAAGACAGGCATCAACAGCGAATTTTTTTAAATTTAGTAGTTTATGGACGAGAGTGATAATTTGACCCGAACATGATTAGGTTTTTAACTGGTAATAGGAAGAAAAACAAATTGGGGCTTCAAGTCAGACTGGACATCCCCATATATATATATATATAAAGGGCATCCCATAATAACTGATATTAAATTATAATGATATTTTTCATAGTTTTTCTTGACATAGAAAGCTGAAATTTTTATCACATATATATCTAATAGAAATCTTTTATTTCTGAGTTTTAGCTCTTTATCTTGAACTAATGGTGAAATACATCGATTTGGTAGTCGATTTTTGCAAGTTTTATAATAAAACATATATAAAAAATCAAGTACCAAATCGATGTATTCCACCACTAGTTCTAGTTAGAGAGCTGAAACTTGCAGAAATAAAAGATTTTTATTAGATATATAACTAAGAAAAATTTCAGATCTTTACACCAAACAAAAGTATGAAAAAAAATCATTAATAATTTAAGGACAAGGTGTTCAATAAACACCCTTTTCATGTGTGGAATGTTCTTAAAAAATGATCTTGAGCTCCATACGTTATATGTCGAAAAAGATTTTAATTATTATCTCAGACCGTTTTCAGCAATAACGTCTGACTAGATTATCAAAGCCGAAAAAAAAAAATTTTTTCCATAAAAGCGGTAGAAACTCAATGGATTCACCCATTATAATTGAAGATTGAAATATTTAAATAAAATATCCTATTGCATTGTTAGCTGTCGGAATGTTCTTAGTATGTATGTTCAAATTTCATCATAATAGGATTTACAGTGATGCATATCCTAATCTAATTTTTAATCTTTGAATTTTCTGTTTCAAATTATCATATCTATGTACCTACAATACTTAAGTCTGTGGATAATTTGTTTTTATATAAAGTACTCACGAGACAACATATTCAAATGTCAGACACCGCTTGATTCCACCTTTTTGTCTATAAATAGAGTTTAATGAGAGCAAAAAAACCTTAAAAGGATTGGTACCTGTACCATGCCTGAACGAAGAGCTAACTACTACATAAGTCTAAGAAAATGAGATTTTTTATCTTTTGGCCAGATTTTTTTTCTTTACTCCGAGAAGCTAAGATTTACAATTTTTCACATAAAATTTTCATTTGACATTGTGAGATTAGTCTTGCAGTAACAAATGAAAATTCTATGTAAAAATTTTTCGATGTTGACTTGTCAGAGTAAAGAAAAAAATAATTTAACAAAAAGATAAAAAAATCCCATTTCCTTAGGTCTACGTGGCAATCAGATCTATGTTCAGGTACACCATGGGCATAAACTATTTTAGGATTTTCTTAGTCTCACGAAGCATTACTCATAGTCAAAAGATGGAATCAAACGGTGTCTGATAGTTAGATATGTTTCCTGATCAGTATTTTGGATTGAAAAAGAGATCGGTAGATTCTCATTGAATCAATCATAGAATTGGAAGCTAAGTATTTTTATCTATTTATTGACACTTACCATTTGCAAGAAAATGAGCTTTAATTCCAGCTATATTAACTTCATGATAATATTATTTTCTAATGTTGAATAATCAGATATAATTCTAACATTCATATTAATTAAATAAAATAATTGTAAATAAACATAGGATAATTTATTTTTTTTATTTGAAATTAAATTAATTTCACTTTAAATAAGATTTGGATTAACATGAAAAGCAAGATGATATCGTTTCCATTCATCATTATATCCATAACAAAGACAATTTTCACTAATAAATAATGATGATGATGATAATTGTTCACGAATTATTAACTGCCCAACGCTTTCTGATGATAATAAGAAGAGAAACTAGAGTAAATTTTATTTAATCTAACTAAATAAATATATTTTTTTCTTTTTTACCCTTTACATTATTATTGGTTAAATTAGCTGGTTTACGATGGTATGTAGAATCTGTCATTTCAGATTGAACTTGATTAAGATCATGATATTCTTGATTTGATTGTAAATGGATAAATCCTATTGTTGTATATCTAGTATCAGATATTATTTGTTTTCGACTATCTGCTGTTGAATAAAACCATTCAAGATTTCTAAATATATATTATATTCATAATTAATAAGAGAAATATTGAATAAATAAATTTTATTATTAACCTTCATTTAAGTACAATAAATGCAGCAAAAAGTTTATTTCAATATATTGTTAGTTTATTAACAACAATCATTTGATATTGTTTTTCTTCATTTAATTACCTTCTTTATATCAATTGATAATTGGTATTTCACTAGGAGCTATAAATCTAATTAACTAAAAGAACAAAACAGACTAAAAATAAACTTCTAAAATTAACAAAGCTTTGTTTAAAATCATATATTTTTATTTAAAACGTATTATTGAATATTGTTGAATAAGAGTTAGTGCTTTGGTTAATTGATTAAAGCAAACCAAATGAGTATTCTCATTTCTTGTACAATTAATTCTCAATTAACTATTAAAAAGGATAACCCAACAGTTGAGTCTTGTTCAGATGAGTCCCAATATTTGAATCTCTCGATAATTAAGGTAATTATCCTGAATAACATCGAAAATAGAGTCGTGCCATATATTCAGGATATCAAGAGTGCTGGAGATGCAGCATCAATTGTAAAAATGTTCTCACTGTCATCAGGAGAGATTTTCCGTCCTAAGAAAGATTCTCTCTGTCAGAAAAGAGATTATCTGTTTGTTCTCATCGTCATTAAGAGAGATGTCGCATCTTCAGCATCTTCAATAAGCTGCATATATGGCGCAGTTGATATTACCACAATATCTTTTCTTTTATTATTCTCATACGTCGTCTTTCCATTATTCGATCTTCAATATTTCAATGCTTCGATGTTTAACTTTCGATATTATTATCATTCGACTTTTTTAATTTTCGACCAAATTCAGGTTTACCAGTTGGGCTTCCAACAATAGAGCTCGTCGTTTCTTTGTCTGTCGACAGTTGAGCCTTCGACATTTGATCCTCAATAGATGATCAGCACAAAAAAATTTAAATATTTAAAAATTTCATTAAAACAAATATACATTAAATCCCTAAGTATCTCAATCTGTGGCAGAACAGCACATAGCAAAATGATGGAGTAATGAGTAGACAAGTTGAGAGAGAGAGAGAGAAAGAGATTAATGATAAATGGTGAGAATGAGAGCAATTGTAGGTATCAAGCTGAAGGTAAGAATGAATGTAAAGGATGAGGTTTGATTACAATGAAAATAATGATAGGTGTGAAGTTGAGAGTGAAAATGAAGAATTAGATTTTGAAAAAAAAATGAAAGTAATAATGAGAAATGTAACGGGATAATATAACTCGTAACTCAATCACTTGGTCGCGTGCCATTCTGCCATAACATGAGATATCTAACGATTTAATGTCTTACCTATTTCGATAACGTTTTGAAGTATTGTAACTTTTTTGTAGTGATTATCTATTAAGGATCAAACGTTGAAAGCTCAACTATCAGGTGACTTAAGTGTTGACAGGCTCAGAAGTGACGTAAGAGACTGTGTTTTTGGAAGTTGAATTGTTAGACGACTTAAATGTCTGAATCCTCATCTGAACAAGATTCAACTGTCTATCTACCATTAAAAAGAATAAATATCATATTTTATCATTTCTTAGATGTACTTGTTTTCGGATAAAGAACTACATTAAAAACATAGAAGGAAAATAATGCCAGTAAAATATGTAATTTTAGTTTTTCAACTGTTATTAGAATGATCAATTTCGTCATCTAATTATTCAAAGTAAACCTGAATCTATAAATAAAAATAAATATGAAGAATAGGGATAACTTAAAACCATAAAATAATCGAATCTATAGACTCTTATATAATTAGCTGAATATTCGATTTGAATATTTAATGATTCAACCTGGATGCATAACAATTTTTCAATGGTAATTTGAAATATTCAATGTAAGAATCAAGAATCGTGATATTACTACAAAGCTACTGTTAAATGGTTTAGCAGCATTATTAACTGATAAACACAAAAAAGGGTGTGCTACAAAAAGATCGAAAAGAGAAAGATTAAAGAAAACAATGCCGCAGAAAAAATATCGAAAGAAAAAATGTTGAAACTGGAAAATATTGAAAAAAGCGATTATCTCAAGGTAAATGATGGCTCTAACAATGGAGGTGTTTGTATTGTAATTCAGCTAGCCCTGATGTTTTGGCATCAAATGAAAGCTTTATAGGTCCTCTATAGGCTGTATATACCTTGAGATTCGGTTATCTCTCGACCAAGTGCGCCAGCAGCACGTCATATTTTAAATTTAGTACTTTCTCAAAGAGAGCTTTCATTTGATGCCAAAACATCAGGGCTAGCTGAATTACAATACAAACACCTCCATTGTAAGAACTACTTATAATTCATTGTTATTCTTTTTTTTTATAATTCCACTGATTTGGATTTGTAATCAGTAGTAACGGTGATGAGTAATACTGGATATAAATTAACTGTAAAATTCGGAAAAAAGAACCACTATATAACTAAAATTCTATTATCATGGATGCAACTACTCTATCTTCACCAGATTTAAGTAAACGATAGTCACCAGCTATTTCATTTATTCATTGACAAAAAAGGAATGTTTTTGATCATAGCAGATGGATATATTTTCAACTTTGAATAAAACAATAACAACTACTAAATATTGAAAATGTACACTTAATGAATATTCGTCAAAGATTGATACAAATGTTAATAATAGATTGATTAAATTAATAAATGTCACAATCATCCTTCAGAGAAAAAAAAAGCTTGTTAGCGCAGCCCCTTTGGGGCTGAAATGTGGAACTCACATATCTTCTTTACTTTCACTGTGCTAATGGCAAAATATATAATGTTTAGATTCTCTCAAAGACGATAATTATTTTCTAATAATAATTGATTGTTAGCAAATGTTGTCTTTTTTTATTTATATACTTCGAGTAAAATTTTTTTTGTTAAGTTGCTATCGACTGTAATGGGGGGGTTGTCTGTAATGGGGGGTATGTCTGTAATGTTCTCTTTCCCGTTGCTATGTGTCTGTAATGGGGTGGGGGGGGGGGGGGGGGGAGGGGAGCCACGAAACCTCGAACTGAAAACTTACACTCACTATTTTCTTCGAAAACATACGTGAGCTCCACAAAATTAAAGTAGGTGAGTGTCATAAAAAAATCAAATAATGAGCAAAAAAATGGAATAACATCTATTCTATGTGTATGGTGAAGAATGAGCAAAAGCAACTTTATCACTTTGTAGCAATAGCTGTGTTGCTAAGAATTTGCTAAACGAAAAAAATGACATTTTTCATTTCGATCTTTTTTATTGTTGATTTGTGTACAATCTCTGTTAGAATGTTCATATTACCCATACAATAAAGAATGTATCTTCTTACTCAAAATTTTTTAAAATACTTTTCGATCATTTTTCACTTTGCTACATTTTTTTCCATATTTTTCTCTTCGACATTTATCAGTTGTGAATTTTCAATATTTTTTCTATGTTTGTCCCATTTGACACTTTTTCTTTCGACCTTTGTACAAACAACCCCCAAAAAAAAGTTCATGAGATAAAGATTCATAAACTTTGTTATTTTTTTTTGTTTGTATTTAATTAGAGAAGGTCTCGAATTGTGAATTAATGTTTTCCATTAAATTTATATCTTTTTCTAGAGCTCGATGAGCCAATTATGATAATATGAAGAGATTATCTCTATAGACTATTGTTAAAGAGTGAGATTGATTAGAGATCCCTATAAATGGTTGGACGTTAATATTATAGGAAGAATCAATTTAATATATACATAAGAAAAACATTTCTGAAAAATAAAAAAAAAAATTGTAAAATATAATATAGATTGGAACTTTTGAAATTTTTATGTTAAGCTATTTCCAGTGTTCAAAGTTTGAGTAATGAATACATTTTCATTTATATAATGAACTGAAATAAAAGCATTGAGTATGTATGTAATGTAAATATTTCAATATCGCTAATACGATAGATGCATGAAATTCAGCTATTTTGTTTTTCAAAATTTTTTTAAGAATATTATTTTAAAAATGAACTTATTACAGATTTATTAACTTTCTTATTTTCATTAGACTATACTATATTTCATTGTTGTCTAATATGTTTGTCTGGCAAAATGTAACATATAGGGTAAACTTTTGAAACATAGTTATCAATAAACACTTGAGATATATCATCAATTGTATTCTTAAAAAATTTTACCAAAATA